TGAGTAGGTTAAACGTTGAGTTTTATAAGGGCACCACGGGGTGACCAGCCCCTCCCCACCCAGCCCCACCCCTCCCACCCCCCACCCAGCCCCACCCTCCCCTCCCCACCCTCCCCACCCCACCCAGCCCCTCTCCACCCAGCCCCACCCCTCCCATTTTTGGAATCACGACGGACGGACACAATAATCCTCTGTGGGCTGGTGTAACCAGGAGGTTCCTACCAGTATTAAGCTTAACCTTAATGATATTCTCGTAAGTTTTGATGCGACCTCTCTGTTCACGAGGGTTCCGGTCAACGAGTCAATTAAATTACTCGACACTCTGGTAACGAACAAAGGTCTAGCCAAAGATGTCCCACGACTAGCTGAACACTGTCTAAAGAACACATACTTCTTGTGGCAAGGTGACTTCTATAAACAAAAGGAAGGAGCAGCAATGGGCTCTCCTGTGTCTCCTTTGATAGCAGCAAATTTATCCATGGAAGATTTTGAAAAAAATAGCTTCAAGCACACTAAAACCATCTGCCTGATTTAGATATGTGCATGACACATTGGTGGTTTGGCTACACGGCAAAGATACACTGAACGCATTTCTAAATAATCTCAACTCGCAAAACCCAACCATCCAGTTCACCATGGAAGTGTAAGCCGACAGAACCCTACCATTGCTGGATCTTCTGCTCGGACGTGGTCGAAATGATAAAATAACACGCAGCGTTTACCGAAAGAAAACGCATACTCACGCCTATCTGAATGCAGAGTCACGCCATCACCCCGTACAGAAATCTGCTCTTATCAAGACGCTCATTCATCCAGCTAAGAAAGTGTGAGATGGTGACAGTCTGAGAAGTGAAATTCAACATGTTAAAGAAGCGCTGCAAATGAACGGTTACAATGGTGCACAAATCAACAGGGCATTGAATGCCAAAACCAAATCAAATAACGCGAGCATTGAAACTGCCCAAGTAATGAAAACGATCAAAATACCGTATATTGCGGGAGTAACTGATAAACTAGCCAGATGTTTGGAAAAACAAAACATCCGAGTCAGAGTTGGCACGGTACGTAAAATACAGATATTAATATCTGGTACAATAGATGTATTACCGAAGCTATCAACAGAACGTGTGTACAGGATTAACTGCACGTGTGGTAAATGTTACGTTGGGCAAACAGGACGAATGATCAGCACGAGACTAAAAGAACATCAGAGAAATCTTAAATTCTCCCAAATACAACGGTCAGTAAGTAGCGAACACGCGTACCAACAAGGACTCTTAATTGATTTTGATAATGTTGAAGTTCTGTGCAAAACTAGCTACTACTGGCCAAGACTAAAAAACATACTGTAGTTTAGTTTTTCTCAACCCTGGCCACAACTCGGCAGCCTGTTAGGCGACACGCGGGGTGGAAGTTTTTTTTTACTACAGTATTATCAAAGAACCATAATTATCATCATTATTACCGCATCATTCGCATCACCACGAAAATACAATGCCACCGCAACCATCACCGTCCGTAACGACTAACTACCACCACCACCATCATCACTACCACTAACACCATAATCACTCCCACGAACACCATCACTTTACGCATTGCCACTAACACCTTGCCAATACCCACTGACATCATTACAATTACTACGAACGCCACACAGATACCCGCATAATCGCTGATATCTTCACCCCCCCCCCCTCTGACCCCAAAGACAAAGATCCCCCGTATAGCCTTAACAGACTGTTGGTGCAAGTGCTGTTAGAGAGCAGCGCCTTATGAAGGCCGCCACGGCACACGAAGGGATGGATGGCCAGCACCACGCCTCTCCTCCTTTGTCTCCCTTGTGGCGATGTTTACACACCGAACCAGGTACTCATTTGAGGTCGAGTCGACGTAGGGGAGGCCTAGGGCCGCTGAGCGGGAATCGAGCACACATGCCAAGTCACACGCACGCGTTATTCATTAATGAATGATTCAACAAAATCAACAGCTTAGGCGGAACTGAAAGCAGTTGTTCGAGACAGAGATAAAGATCCCTCGTATAACTTTTAACATACTGTTGTGGCGAGTGCTGTTAGCGAGCACCTGAAGTGACAACAACAGGCGGTATTCGCCACTAAGTGACGGTGAGGTCACCACGGCACTTGTGCCAGGATAGGTGCACATCGAGGCCATCACGAGAAGTGTCGAAGGCTCGCTGGAGGTCACGGGACAGACCGTGCAGGTGCCATGGGTTGAACGCCTGAGATGGCTGGCAGATGCACCACGATGACACACACACACACACACGTGTATACACATATGCACATCACATATTACGTATATATGTGTATGGCTTTTATCGTGGTAACCCACCGCTGGATGAGGGCCTCCCAAACGCAGCTTTAGATTTTGGGGGTGTTTATTTGACCATACTTCACCACGCTGGGAAGTTCGGGTCCGTGGTGAAGCAGTTGGCGTATGGAAGTTGTATAAACCGTGAAGTGTCGAAGGCCCGCTGGCAGGAGGTCACGGAACAAGACCCTGCAAGGTGCCGTGGGCTGACTGCACGTTGGACTTTTTTCGCACCCTAGGTCGCCCAACCATGCTCATCGGACTGGCAGATGCACCACGCTGACCCCCTCAGACACAATACCTGTTCATAACCGCAAGGCCTTCTTGTGTAAACCATTTGTTTCTAAAAAATCACCCGATTTTGCGGTTCACGAAAAATGCCTCCAACTGCCACGTCTCATAAATCTCGTACAAGCCTCCTCTTCGAGCCATGCAACTCAGCGGGTCTCACTCAGCTCCTGCGCTTGGCCCGAATTGTTTCGGGCCACTTTCACAATCTTTTACCACCTCCGGCCAGCGTTTCCCACTCTGCAGGGGCGTCTCGCAGTGCCACTTTCATGCAGTTCTCTCCGCTGCGTCTTAATTTAGTTTCTCTCTCGTATACAACATCTACAGCATTTACGCAGAATTCAGACAATCGTCACTGGTGTTGGTGGCCGTGAGCGGGAATCGAACTCCGGTTAGCCGGGTTCGTAGCGCAGCGTGCGAACCACTGCGCCACCGCTCCACGCACACACACACACACAACAAAGATAAAGATCCCCCCTAGATAGCCTTAACAGACTCTCGGGGCAAGTTATGTTAGCGGGTAGCACCTATGAAGGCCGGCACGGCACACGAGGTCGGGGGGGGGTCGCCTTTATCTTCCCAGTGGCGATGTTTACACACCGCACCATTAATTAATTTGAGGCTGAGTCGCCCTATGGGAGGCCCAGGCCCAGTTCGGATAATCATCACTGGTGATGCTAAACCGCTGCGCCACCGCTCCCCACACACACATGCACACTCACCCACAAAGCAAACACGGAAATGTCAAGAGGAACACGATTTGTACCCGTAGAAAATAATACATCTCAGTGTGTGTTGTGTTGTCTGTGTATGTATGTCTGTCTTTGTTGATTTGTATGTCTGTGTGTATTCATTATTGCATTCTCTATGCATGAATGTGTGTGTGTGTGTGTCTGGAGGCGGATGTCTATGTGTGTATGTCTTTGTAAGGCGTGTGGAGGCATTAATACAACAGTGGAGTTAGATTCACCCTCGCAGCCAACGTCGGCAACGAATACCTCCACCAGTCCCTGGGCTTCCCCAAGCTTGACTCAGCCTCAAATGGCTACCTGGCGTGATGTGTACACATCGGCAACTGGAGAGACAACGGTGGCCGGGGCGTGCTTCCGGCCACACCACCCCCTTGTGTGCCGTCGAGGGCCTTCATAGGTGCTCGCTAACAGCACTTGCCCCAACAGTTTTGTTAAGGCTATACGGGGGATCTTTGTCTCTGCGTATGGCTATGTGCGTGGAGGTGTGTGTGTGTGTGTGTATATTTGCCTTTGGAGGTTTATGTGAATGTGTGAATACGCCCATGATTGTGTGTTTTGTGTCTAAGTGTGTAAGGTGTTTGTGTGGCATGTAATCGGCGCTCGCTAACAGCACTTGCCCCAACAGTCTGTTAAATGCTCCATGGGGGATATTTGTCTGTGTACACGTGTGTGTGTGTTTGTAAGTGTACGTCTATGAGTGTGTGCTTGAGGAAATGTGCGTGTGTGTGGAGTACACGCGTGCGTAAAGTACACGCGTGTGTAGAGCACACGCGTTTCAGACCCTGCACGCACGTGCCCATGAGCACGTGCGTGGAGTACACGCGTGTGATCGCGGCTCTCGTCATCGGCACTGTTGTCGTGAGGTCCTGCGAGTGTTTGCTTTCTTTTACATTTTCCGCGTTTGACGCGAGGTCACGATGGGATGCCGGTGTCGCGCAGACGCCTTCCTCGCATCAACACACAGTCACCATCAGCGCCAACATCATCATCACGACTACCATCACCACCACCATCATAACGAATACCAACATCATCACCACCATCATCATCATCACCCCCACCACCATCATCACGACTACCATCATCATCACCACCACCACCATCATCACGACTACCATCATCATCACCACCACCACCATCACCACCACCATCATCACGACTACCATCATCACCACCATCATCACGACTACCATCATCACCACCATCACCACCCAGCCATTACCGCCCTTTCACCCACGCATCCCATCACACATTTTCATCATCACCATCACCCCCCCCCCCCCCCCCCCCCCCACACTATCTAACACCTCCCTCATGGACTACCTCCCTTTCCCATATTCCCTTGGCCTCAACTACTCCCCCATATCTACCCCCTGCCAATACCCCCCATCTACCCACCCCATCTACCCCCCCTGCCCCCCATTTACCCCTTGACCCCCCTCCCTCCCCCCATAAACCCCTCCCCTCGTCTATCCCCCGCCATCTACCCCCCCCCCATTCCACCCCGCCCCCCCAATGTGCCCCCTTTCTCCCACACCGCCCGCGACACGGGACCCGCCTCCGTTCCCCCAGCAGCCCCTCCCCCTGTAGCCCCTCCCCCCCCCTCAGGGCTCTGCACGTAAAGGCTGAGTAGTCGGTGCTGCGTCTCTCACTCAACAGTGGCAGCGTTCGGGTTTCCAGATCCCAGCACGCACTCGGTGGGGCCACGTGCTCGCGACTCGCTCTGTCTGCGCGGTGCTCACAGCGGGGGAAACCCAAACTCGTCGATTGGTTATTTAGTGGACCACATCAGTGGTGGTCGCGAGCTGGTGGGTCGCTGATTGCTACAAGTATATGATCGTCAGCAGAAGCGGAATCATCAGTGGCGGCAGCAACAGCGGCGACGGCGGTCATCATCATCATTATCATCATACGTGTCATCATCAGCATCACCGGCAAAAGCATCACCGATAGCATTGCCACTTTGACATGACCATTAGCATCAGCTGTGACGCTACCAGCAACGCGATGACGAATTAGCAGCATTATCATCATCAGCAGCAGCCCCAATATTATCGACAGCAGCAGCAGCAACATTTTCACCAATATTATCATCAACAGTATCATCATCATCATCCTCATTAGCAGCAGTAACGCTCATCATAGCTGACGAATGTTAGCTATCGACATCATTAGCACAATCGGTCGTCTTTGGAGTCATCTTGAATATTCCGCACGCCAGCTTAACTGAAGCGAGCCCAAATAGCATCGAGCCAAAATATACACTCGGATGTATAACTAATTTAATTCGAGTAATCGGCAACGTGTCCCTTGACACATTCCACACGTGTCATCATCACCACCATCATCGCCGCGTTCTCCGCTTCTCCATATTTGCACCCCAGTCCTATCGTGACCATCTCTCACCTCCAACTCCTCACCATCCCAAGCCATCAGCATCATCATCATCATCCCATTTAATTCGCCCTGCGTCTTCATCATCATCATCCCATCGCTATCGCGTCCAATGTTTCATCTCTCTGGGACGTGAGTGGATGAGTGTCGAGGGACAAGTATCGCTACACGTGCCAGCCAGACAGACGGACAGACACGAGGTCTCATCCGATGCTGCAGTAGCAGCAGTAGCAACAGCAGCAGCAGGAACGCAGGACCCAGTTTTGCTTTCATTTCCGCCTCGAGTATTGAATGTTGCGCGCTCCCGGGAGTCGCCTCTTGCGAATTTCCATCGCCACCCACTGGGCTGGATATTACCTCTGGCGCAAACATTGCAGGTAAGTGTATCCGAAAACGCGTGCGCACGTACGTGCGTGTGTGTGTCTTGCATGGTGTGTCCTGTGACTCGTCATCTGTCACTCATCTCGGTCAGTCAACCCAGAACAATCAGCCTGGGTCTGCGCCGTGACCTCCTCCGGCCGGCCGGCCAGCCAGCCAGCAGCGGCAGCGGCAACGGCAGCCACATTGTCAATGTGTACCTAGCCTGGCACAAGCACCGCGGGGATGTCACCCGCCACTTAGTGGCGAATGACGGCTGTTGTTTAGATTTTTGGTGTTGTTTCGCTCGCTTGAGCCGGTGAAGTCGGGCTCCGTTTAAACGACTCTTTTTTTTCCAGGAGGGTCCTGCCAAGTTTTCGCAGTAGGGGGCGATGAGTGTGCGTGATCGGGCCGAGTTCCAGTGCATGTGTTCACGCGAGTGTTCACCCGTGTGCGCGTGTGTTCATGCGTGTGCGCGTGTGTTCAGGCGTGTGCGCGTGCACCTGGGGAGATAAAGGCGGCCGGGCGTGGGATTAGCCACACCATCCCCTCGATTAGCGTGTTGGCCAATGAAAGATGCTCGCTAACAGCACTTGCCCCAACATTATGTTAAGGCTATACGGGGCATCGTTGTCTTTGTGTGCGTGTGTCCATGCACGTGTGTGTTGTATGCATGCCCGTGTGTTTATGTTTGTGCTTGCGTGTTTTGTTCATAAGTTCTCGCTAACAACACTTGCCTCAACAGTCTGTTAAGGCTATACGGGGCATCGTTGTCTTTGTGTGTGTTTTATAGTCATCTATGCCTGTATTTGAGTGTGTCCGTGTATGTACATTATGTTTACCTGTATTAGAGACATCCATGCCGGCCCGCCTACGATCCATCCTGGGTTTCACCAGGCTGGATCGTGCGAGGAGCTCACGGATCCTTGAAAGATCTGGACACGGTCCCATCAGTGAGCTCCTCCGACAGGCAAGGTTGCGTTGGTTGGGTCATGTAGCCGCATGGCCAGCCACCGCATGCCCAAATTAACGTTTGTTCTGCCGGATATAGGGGGCTAAACGGGCACGGCACGGGATAGAGAAGAGATGGAGTGTGGTGCGAGAAGATATGGAGCTGAGTGGACATTGCAATGACTGGTACCAGCGGTGTCAAGATTTGCCTCTGTGGAGGAGGCTCGTGAAGAACGCTGCGACTGGACAGTTGGAGGCAGTCGCCCTCCAGCAACAACAGAAGGCATAGGAGCGACGCTCACAACAACGAGCAGAACGTCCGGCGGATAAAAAAAAACACAGCTAGTTGGCACAGTATTGAGCACAGGTGGTGCATCAGCCAGTCATCTCAGTCAGTCAACCCATGGCACCTGGGTTTGTCCTGTGACCTCTTGCCAGCAGCGAGCCTTCGACACTTCACGCGGCCTCAAGGTGCACCTAGCCTGGCCCGATCGCGTGTCATTGCCACTGAGTGGCGAACGCCAGTTGTTGTTGTTGTGCACGTGTGTGCGTGTAGCGTTTTCCCGTTATGTATTCGTGTTTCTTTGTCGTGTTCGGTGCATGAATAGGTCATCGCTAAAGGAACTTGCCCCAACAGCCTGTCAAAGGTTATACGGTGTCTGGGGCGGCCGGGTCTTGATATATTGTGTGCGCGTGTGGAAAAAAAAATCCGCTGACTCAGTATAAAACGTGCTAATGTACTCGAGGATCCCGAGGAAACGTTAGGAACTCATTAAATGAACGCCGGTAACCCCACAGGGATTACGACTCACGAACGCCACGAACCCTGCGGGTTCGTAGCCTCCCCCCCCACTAGCCCCCCCGTCACTAACCCCCACTAGCCCCCCCGTCACTAACCCCCACTAGCCCCCCACGTCACTAACCCCCAATAGCCCCCCCCCCACTAGCCTCCCCTCCCCCAATAGCCTCCCCCGTCACTAACCCTCCACTAGCCCCCCCCTCCCCCATTTTCTTCATTCATATGTATGTGCAATTATTACCTTATACATATTACACATATTCATATTTCCCGGTTATGGCCACACAACTGGCGTTATTGCCAACGCGCGAGCATCGCGAAACAATGCATTTGTTTTCTTTGGTTCTTTCGGTAAAGTCACGTAGAATGAGAATAAAATAATAATAAATTGATAAAATAAAATAACACAAGCAATTTATTTAATTTTATTCTCATTCTACGTGACTTTACCGAAAGAACCAAAGAAGATGAATCATTGCGGTCACGAAAGCTTTAAATCGAAATTTAATGCATTTGCTCGGCATTGCATCAGTTTGCTCTGTGGCCTCAGCCTGCCACGTGGGGTTTGCTATGCCTCAGGATACAGATCCCTGACTGCAGGCTAGAACCATGCTCCCTGGAATGCGTCAAAACTACTATGCGCTGTGAAGAAGGCCCATTTCCCAAAACGTCGCCAATGTTATTGACGAACTACGAGTTAGTTTTTTTGGCCGTTGTGCGCGTGCACCACCGCCAATGCAGCAGCAACACCACGTGATTTGCTTTCTTTCTACTTGGCTTGTATAATCATCATCATCACCATCATCAGTTCAGATGTATCCACTGCTGGATGAATTCATGCCGCCACGCGTCGCCGGCCATCCATCGTAGCTTTGCGTTGGCGTAATCCATGCAGCCTTCTTCAATGCCCGCGGGCCACTCGGCACCCCTGTGTGTGGCGGCCGCTCACACACTGATGATGTCTTGTCGGTGAAAGTGCCCACCCCTCCTCTGAACATGTGTAAAGAACACGATCTCTTCACTGAATCCCCACCCCCCTGCAGCGTGGCCCACGTGCGTCCCATCCCTTTGGCCTCTGCTCTAACACAAGCCTCCCTCCCTCCCTCCTCCTTCTCCTCCTCCTCGCTCGGGTCATCGTTCCACCGTGATAGATCCGTGTCTGATTTGCGTGTGTTCTCTCAACCCCGTGTTAACGGCCACATTTTCAGTCTCTCGGTGGTGCATCTCTCCGCGCTTCTTTGCACACTTTTTCAGCTGTTGTTCCATTTTTGTTGGTGTGCACGCATGTTGTGTGTGTGTATATATATATGTTGGATATACGTACCGTATGTAGCCAACCCGCGCGAATCCGAGGTGCGGGGGAAGGACGACAAACGGAACACAAAAATGAGTGCTCAAGAAATGAGTTTGTCAATCTCGATTTCAAAGTGCACGGCTCCAGTGGCTTGTTGTTATTGGAAGGGAGAGAATTCCAGACGGTCGCACGAGCGCATCGGAAAGCGTGCGCGATGAGGTTCTACGGCTAGCCAAAAGCCGCTGTCGCGAGGATGATCGTAGTTTACGTGATGGTTCGTGCTCCTTGACGACGTATTGCGGTGCATTTGTGGCGAGCACTTTGTGCGCAATGAGTGTGAAAAGAGTTTGCGTCGAGTCCCGTCTTCTCGAACCCCATAGGCACTGATTGTGTCCTCCTTTCTTCTCCGGGCTCAGCGGAAAGGCCACTCTGTAGCGCCAAACGCTATGGCCCTCCGCTCGCGTTCGCCTCTTTGTTTCATTCATCGAGCACCTCGGCCCACCTTCAGTAAGCTGCCCCTAGGTATCCACACACACACACACACTGTGTTTAACAAGTGTCTCCTTCAACAATAACTGCCCTTCGTTCAATGAGCTTGTGCTCGACTCGTTTTGTTTCTGTCTCTTCCGATTTCCCTTCGCTTCTTGGCTCTGCTCTATTTCATTCGCTCCTCTTCTGGCATTTCGCTGACATGTTATTCATATAGTTTATTGTTAAAAATTGGGTCACAGTCCCTACGATCACTGTTACGTTGCGTTTATGGCTTTTATTTTGGTGATTTCGAAAGCGTTTTTTTGGTTTGGCCATGTTTTTGTTTATTGTAGTACGGAGTTAAGACTGATGGCCTTAATCTTAGTTGTATTGTGGTTGTTGTTGTTTGACTTGCATCCCACTGGGGTTTTTTGCACACAGCGTTGGTGTACGATGTTATTTCTGGAATATTTAGATGTTTTTTTTCCTGGATTTTCTGTTTGCACAGTCACAAAGTCACTTTAAGATGTTTTCTTGTTCATGTTTTTGTTTTTTTTGCGGTTGCACTCGATTCAAGAGCCGAATGGCTCACAGGGCTATACCAAATAAATGGAACTATGAAATAAATGGAATGGAACTATGACCCAGGCCACGGCTTGGAAATGTGGCCTTGGCTACTTTGCACGCCAACCAGCCGCCTCGCAGGACCGCTGACGGTCCTGGACTGTGGCCTCTGACTCTCTATGTGACTCTATGAGTCTCGAAGTAATTGTATGTGTCTCTATGTAACTATATGGGTCTGTGTGTGTTTTTATGGGTCTATGTGTAACTCTATGGGTCTATGTGCAACTCTATGAAACTCTGTGGGTATCTATGCAACTCTACAGGTATATTTGTAACTCCATTGGTCTTCATATAACTATGAGTCTCTATGTGACTCTATGGGTCTGTGTACAACTCAATGAAACTCTGTGGGTATCTATGCAACTCTACGGGTATATTTGTAACGCCATTGGTCTTCATGTAACTATGAGTCTCTATGGGTCTCTATGTGCAACTCAATTAAACTCTGTGGGTATCTATGCAACTCTACGGGTTTATTTGTAACTCCATTGGTCTTCATGTAACTGTGAGTCTCTATGTGACTCTATGGGTCTCTATGTGCAACACAACGAAACTCTGTGGGTATCTATGCAACTCTACGGGTATATTTGTAACTCCATTGGCCTTCACGTAACTATGAGTCTCTATGTGACTCTATGGGTCTCTATGTGCAACTCAATGAAACTCTGTGGGTATCTAAGCAACTCTACGGGTTTATTTGTAACTCCATTGGTCTTCATGTAACTATGAGTCTCTATGTGACTCTATGGGTCTCTATGTGACTCTATGGGTCTCTATGTAACCCTACGTTACTTCACGCTCTGTATATCATCTCCAGTCATCCTCTTAGCAGCGACGTTTGGCTGGCCATCGCGCTTTCAGGTGAGCTTCTGCGGCCTTCT